TGACGCAACGACAGCCCGGACACCAGTGCTTTGACTAGACAGGCGCTGTAATGGGCCTAGCGTGTGCCCACTACTCCGGCTAACACATGTGCGCAGGAAGCGTTAAGTAGTTTTACTTAGATTAACTACACTTCCCCCGAAAGTATAGATTTACTTAAATAAGAAAAACAAAGTCGATTTACGATAAAATGAAAACTGTTATTTATGATTAATGTCTTTGTTTGGGTTTACTTCTAAAAGTGATATTGTATATGAAAGGTATTTGCCAACGAGTGCTTGGCAGAATCCTACTGCTGTAATTGGTAGAAAGAAGTTGCCCTTCTACCAAAAAGAAGTCTAAATGCATGCAGACCAGTCGTCTGCCAAATGGAACCATTGACGTATCGCATATCAATGTGGAAACCCTTCCAAGCCAAGTGGCTACATGTAGCCACTTGCATGTAACCCCGTAACACGCGCCGAAGGGACAGGGTTTCTGCCCGAAGGACTTGTACGGACATGATGATTGCAGGGGTAACTTCTAAGACACGATTTCCAAACTGAGGGGGGGAAGGGAGCGGAGTGGTTGGCTAGAAACTGACTCTAGACCCATGAACACAGTAATAAGTATGTCATCTTTTGGAGGGCCATACGATTAATTTTCCCAATCAAATTCTCGCAATGTAATATTTTATTGTGGAAACCAACCCAGATGTCCAATTTATTTACTAATCGACCGATTTAGAGCGCTAATAAGACCGATTATATATATAAAAACGAACTGCAAGTTATTTTTTGTGACCAGTTATCTAAATTAATGTCCGTTTTAAATAGTCCCATCTCGTTTATATAAACATAGTTTTCTCCGAATGCCCATGCAGAACTGGGCAATTCAAGCACCTGGAACATATATAAACACGCAATGGAGAAATTCCAAATTCGCTAAAAGCCGCACTTGCTGGCCCGTATGCTAAGCAGTGGGAGGCTGTACTGCAAGTTGAGTAAAATGTCCTCCTAGAAAACGGGGCATGGGAACTGTATGATGTGCCTCAACGCAGGCATGTTTGGGCTGCATTCACAATTTGATGTGAAATACAATGTCAACAACACCGTTGAGAGATTCAAGGCTCGCCTAGTAGTACAAGGTAACACCCAATAAATATGGGATTTATTGATAAGAGATATTCTCCCCAGTTGCCCGATATGAGGCATTGCGACTGTCATTGACTTTTACCACAATTAAGGATTATCATCTTTACCAAACGGATGTCTCGACAGAGTTTCTTTTCGGCGAGTTGCTTGGGGGAAATTTACATGCACCAGTCGTTAGGATGTCGGGGAGGTTTTGCTAGAAGGTGTGTAAATTACGGTAATCTGTATCAATTAAAACACGCACCCCGAATCGGGTATCGTGTGCTACATGCGTTTCGAGCATCGTTTGGATTTTCACGGTGTAAAAAGCAATACTGTATGTATCGGAAGATTGGAGATTACTGGAGTCACACACACATTAAAAGTGTGTTTGTGTGTTGATAACCTACCCAGGCGGGATTATCTCTGTCGTCTCAAAATGAAGTGATAGCAAAATTATCATCCCGCATTCGAATGAAGAAT